TTGGGCATCTGGGCCAGGTATTTAGCTCAGTGGTTCCACCATCTGCCTCACAAACACAAGGACCCGAGTTCAATCCCTGGTACCCACCCCCTAAAAAATGGACATCTGAAATGAACAGACATTTCTCAGACAAAGAAGTAAAAGCAGCAAGTAAATATATGAAAAAATGTTCCACATCACTGGTCATTCGAGAGATACAGATGAAAACAACACTGAGATTCCACCTCACCCCACAAAGAATGGCTGCTATCAAGAAATCAACCAATAACAAATGCTGGTGGGGCTGTGAGGAGAAAGGAACCCTTCTCCATTGTTGGTGGGAGTGCAGACTGGTGCAACCACTGTGGAAATCAATATGGAGGTATCTCAAAGAACTAGGATTAGAGATTTGATTTGACCCAGCTATCCCTCTGCTGGGTATCTTTCCAAAAGAATTAAAAGAATCATACCACAGTGATATATGCGCAGCCATGTTTATAGAGGCACAGTTTTTAATAGCTAAAACTTGGAAACAGCCCAAATGCCCATCAACTGGAGAATGGATAAAGAAAATTAAAAAAAAAAAAATGAAATGGAGAACTACTCAGCCATAAAGAATGAGAAACTAGAGATATTTATAGCTAAGTGGATGCACATTAAGGCCATACTCTTAAATGAAATTAATAAGTTACACTTGTGTGAAAAAGTAAAAGTCTAAATGAGGATTAAAATATATAATTGAGGGTGAAGGGAGGGCAGGGACAAGGGGAAAAAAATGAGAACCAAGACCACCTGTCATGTAAAGGTACAAGATCCTGATAATGAATGTAACTTACTATATACCTAAAATATACCAAGTAACTCAATAAAATAAAATAAAAACATTTTTCTCTCAAAAATATATAATTGATACTGCATAATAGGAAGAAAAGTCTAAAAGAGTAGAGGAAGTGGGATGGGTAGGGGAAGGTAACAAGGGAAGAGAAAAAATATGTGAAAAGGAAAACATGGAAACAATGTCTTTATAAACAGGGAAGGGTGGAGGGGCTGAGGGGAGGTCTGGGGAATGGGGAAAAATAAGAACCTGATAAGTCATATATAGGTGCAAGATCCCAATGATGAATGCAACTGTATCATATACCTAATATGTACTGATACATTTAATAACGATAAAAAGGAAGGTTCTAGCCTGGTGTGGTGCACACATTTGTAGTCACAGTACTTTGAAAAGCTGAGGAAGCAGGAATGCAAGTTCAAGCCCAGCCTGGACAACTAAGTGACTTAGTGAGACTGTGTCTCAAAATAAAAACAAAAACCAAAGAAGTGCTGGGAATGTGGCTCATTATAATTCCCAGTATCACATACACACATGGTTCTATGTACTTGCTTCATAGGCTGCAAAAAAGTAGGGTGATGGTTGAAGTGACTTCAGGGAGACCAAGGAGAGAAGTTCCTAAGGGGCTGTCTGAAGGCTGCCATGTCAGGACAGGGTGCTGGCTGAGTCATGGAGGCCAGAAGTGTAAACAGACAACAGATTAGGAGTTAACATGGAGTCTCAGAAAGGATGCTGACACTGAGCAACAGGATGAAACTATTACAGTGGATATGGACCTTGGCATTGACTTTATGCTTGTAAACTGTCATGAAACTTCATGGCATCCTGACCTGGTAACAGAAATTCGTGAAACAGGATTTAGGATTCTATTAGGCAGTAAGGATAAGGGCTCCAAAATGAAGTCTGGAAACCCAAAATGGAGTCTGCTGAGTCATGACCCTCCAGATATCTTTTACAAACATCTGCCAGGTGTCCTCCAGGTGTCAGGGACCTGCCTAGAGCATGATCAGGCAGGCCAGTGGCTCAAGGGTGCACAGGCCCTGAATGGACACCACGTGACTGCTGCACCATAGTATATAAATCTCTTCTATAGGTAGAGATTGTATTGTCCACATAATGGCCGGAGCCTCCTTCTAAACCCCTTAAAAATTCCTAGACACATAGCCTGCTTGGGTATTCTGCTTAGAACCTCCTCCCAGCTAGCACAAGCTCTACTTCCTTGCTTTTACATCTTTTATTTCCTTTTTTTTATACCTCTTAAATTAATTTGCTTGGGCCCAACCTCCTCTGCCTTCACTTTCATTCTTTGTCACCCTGAGAGACGACCCTGACATATCCTTATCAACCTAGTCCTGATAAAATTGAACCTCTTTTGGGGCAGTAGTGATTTCTTTCCTTGTATTTTCTGTACTAGTCAAAGACTTATTTTATATGGAAAGAAACAAAAAGGGAAGAAGAGCAAATAGTTATTGGAACAGATGGACTTTAAAAGTGAAACTTTGGGGATGGAGGCTCTTTCACTTCAGAAGAAAAGCAACAACCCATAAATAAGCAAAACACACTGAAAAAGGAGGAAAAAGAGGTGGCAGAGGGAGGACACCATTACCGTTATTCCAGTGTCATGTGCCCCAGCATACGGAATGTCTTCCTTCAATAACTGTTCACTGAGCCCCCTCTATGCTGAGGAACTGTGTGCTATAGGAAAGCAAATGTGAATTCAACTTGGAGAAACTGGAGTCTGTTTGGGGGGCTGGCTTGTGTCATACAGGTGGGCAGTGAGCAGAGGAAGGTGGATCTCCAGAGCCAGGGTGAGGGCTTAGAGAACAGGGAATCCCCTGAAGCTGGGATGTTGCCAGAGGAGCTTTGGAAGATGGCAGTCTGAGAATGGGGGCCTGGGGCATGACAGGTGGGATTCGATTCTGCTGCCGTCACAGAGGAGTTCATCCTTGTGGGGGTAAAAGTGAGGACAGAGACATAGGATGAGAGAGCATGGCTTAACACGGGAAAATCTTGGGTTAAAGGAGCAGTTCAGAGCCCAGATATGGAGGATGTTGAATTCCTTTATTTTAAGGTAAGCGGGGAGTTGTCAGAAGCCTTTGACTTCTCAGCAGATGGCTAACAGGAGAGGTGTACCAGCTGTGGGGAATGCTCAGAGGCAAGGGTGAGAACAGAAGCCCATTTCCTCCCCCTTATTGAAAGTGATGAGTTGTTATTTGTTATTTGTGTCTTTTGTTTGTTTTTTGAGACAGGGTCTCACTATGTAGTCGAGACTGACCTGGAACTCACTGTGTAGCCCAGGCCGGTCTGGAACTCAGAGCGATTCTCCTGCCTCAGGCTCCTGAGTGCTGGGATTACAGGCGTGCGCCCCCACGCCCCACTCTGTGTCATTATTTTTCAAACCAGAGGTTGTAGTTTGAATCTGGCTTGTTCCACCAAAGGTTCATGTGTTAAAGGCTTGTTCCCCAGCACGGTGCTCTTAGGAAGTGGTGGAAAAGTTAAGAGGTGGGGCCTAGTGGAGGTCTTAGCTTATTAGAGGTGTGCCCTCAAAGGGGACCATGGGAACTTCTTCTCTTTTGCTCCTTTTTTTTCCTTCTTCTTGGCTTCCATGAGGTTCTAATACATGTCCCCTGCCATGATGTGTTGCCTCACTGCAAGCCCAGAAGCAATGGGGCCAATCGATCATGGACTGTGACCCTCCAACTGTGAGTCAATATAAACCTTTCTTCTTTATAAATTGATTTAGGGCAGGTGTCTGTTACAGTAACATAAAGCTGATTAACATACAGCTCCGGTGCTTACTGGGTGAACTTGAAGTTACAAAGGTCAAGGACATTGCCAGGCAACTCTGAGGATAAGCGAGGAATCCTTCTGACCCTGTGGACAGTTTCCAATTCAGTTGCTTTGAATTCTGCTATTTATGGCTCATGCTTTGCTACTTTAATTTTGGAAGTGGGAGGGGCCTCTCCCCCCTCAACCTGAGGTCCTGGGGATTGAACCCAGGGCCTTCACACTGAGCCACGTTCCAGCCTCATTCTGTTCAAAGTTTATTTTGAGACAGGGTCTTCTAAGTTTTAGAGCCTACTCTATGCTTTATGGAATCATGTGGCACCATACATACTTCCAACACCACAAGTAGCCACATTCTCGGGGTGGCAACCTTGCTTCCTCAGTCACTCCGACCTTCTGCACTATATAATCCTAAAATATTAAGTAAATTATTCTGAGCAAATTCATGAAAAAGTGCATACCAGCTCATCCTAACTACATCATCTACGTTCCTAAGTATTTTTTCGAGGTGAACGATCCATAAAGCATTGCCTAGATTTTGAATATTTGTGCAAGTTAATGGAAGGAGAGATCGGCAATTTTTCGAGGTGAACGATCCATAAAGCATTGCCTAGATTTTGAATATTTGTGCAAGTTAATGGAAGCTCAGCATGTCATCACCCTGTACTCACCAAAGGAGAGATCGGCAAAACCTGTGTTAAAAACTCTGCACCAATATAGCACGGCACTAACTGAGCTCCTTGCCAGCAGCTAGTTCCAACTGCTAGCCAATTGAGCTAAATTTTTAAAAATATAGAATTCTGCGTTGAAGTTTCCAACAGTCAGGTGGCAGTTGTTCAGCATGTATGATTCACAGGGAAAGCATGTAGCTCATTTTCCTTTGAAATGAGCTAATAGCCATTTAGAACTAACCTATGGAAATGAGCTATGTTGGCTATTCGGAACTGACTTTTCACGAGACCCTCCCTTATTCATCATATTCCCCTTTCCTGCTTAATAGCATCCTGTGTGCTTTTCTGTCTCCTCTCCTGATGGTGTAAGTCCCCAGCAAGCAGGGATATTGCCTTTCTGGTTCACTGCTATGTTCCTGTCTGGAACAGAGGAGTCTGCATTTTCCTTCCATAGGAGGCAGAGAAATGATATTTAAAATGAAGGTAACTGTACTGTATACCTAGAATGTACCAATAAACTCAGTAAAAAATAAAATGTAAATTGAAAAAGGCTACTTTGATACACTTAGTCCTAAAGTGTACATTTAATTTCTAACATATCATTCTGTTATGAAGGTGAAGTTTGCATTTAATACTTAATCAGTACTGCCTGAGTGGAAGTGCTGAATAACTTTTCTGTAAATCTGCACAAATAGATCTGTTTGATTTAATATTGATAAAAGCCTTACCTCCTTAAATTCTCTGTTCCTCTTGACCCTGCCGGTGGCCCTGTCTTGACATCTGTGTAGTATATCAGGAAGGATTTCTTTTCCTGGGATCTGAACACAGCGGATGCAACAATGTTTTAGTTTTGAGCTCAGGCTAATGGGCTGAAACTCAGCAAGCAGTACTGGCAGGATTCATTGCTGCACCATTTAATGGAAGATTGTTTTCTGTTAACACTTGGTAGAGGAAGCAGAAACATTGTATTTAAACACAGACTTTGAAATCAGGGGGACCTGGGCTTAAACTACTCCAGAACTCCCATTCACTTGCTGTGTGACCTTGGGGAAGTTATCTAACCTCACTAAGCCTTAGTCATCACAAATGTTAAAGGGGAATCGATATTCTTTCCCCTATCTTCTCAAATTGAGAGGATTAAACCAACTGTGACAATTGGGAGGAAACACATTTCTTGTTATCAGATGGTCGCCATCCATCAATAATTCCTCTCTGGAGAAGTCCAAGAGGAACAGGGGAAATCACGATGAGATTCTGCTTGAAATCATTCTGAGGTAAGGAATGGTGGATGATTGTTAGGGAAGAACCATTTGTTTTGGGTTTAAGAGATCTGAGTGCTAGTGCTGACTTGGTCATTAATCGGTTGAACCTCGATTTGCCCATGTTAGAATAATGATGTCTAACCCTCTGTACCACCAGAGTTAACTGTGAGAATGAAATGAGAACAAGTAACACTCAACAGGTACTTATGTGTTAGAACCATATGCAAAAGCATCTTGCAAAGGTGTTGTATTAGCTACTTTCCCCTCCCTGGGTCAAAATATCTGAGACCCACAACTTAAAGGGAGGACAAGTTTATTTTGGCTCACAGTTTCAGTGGATTCAGTCGGTAGTTATCCAGTTCCAGGGCAGAATGGCATGGTAGAGGAAAGGTATTCACTGCATGGATAGTTAGGAAGGAGCGGGGAGGGAGAAGAGAAGGAGGAAGGAAAGAAGAAAAGGGAAGGAAAGGAATTGAAAGGAAGGGAAGGAAAGGGAAAAGGAGGGGAAGGGAGGGAAAGCCAGGGCAGAAGAATATACTCTTTAAGTCACATCCCCAGGTACTCACCTCCAGTGACGCTCTCCATGCAAACGTGAGACTTTTGGGGGATATTTTAGATCTAAAACATAACAGGTGAATGGTATTATAAAATGTAAGACTCTATTAAGGACACCTAAGAGTTAATTATATATTCACTCTTAAAATGTTGCCTCTAAAGAGGATATCAGTAGAGAATATTCTTTTTGCTTGTGCTTTTGTTTGTTTGTTTTCTTGGATATAGATTGCTAAAAAACACAATTTTCAAAACCTGTGCTTATCTCTGTGTAATCAGTGTACAGATTAAAATCAATACTTCCAATGAAGAAGTGAAATTGCTTTTATTTACAGACAAAATGATCTTTACGAAGATCTAAAGGCTCCACTAAAAAATTGCTAGGACTTATGCATAAATTCACTGCAGGATAGAAAAGCAGCTACCAAAAATCCTTAGGGTTTCTATAAATTAAAAACAAACAAGAAATTGAGAAAACAATCACTTTTAAAATAGTATTAAACTATTTAGAAATAAATGTCTCCAAGAAAGTAAAAGACCTGTTCACTTAACACCATGAAACACTGATGAAATAAACTGAAGATACAAATAAATGAAAGAGTATCCTTTGTCCATGAATTGGAAGAATGAATATTGTTAAAATGCCTATACTACCTAAAGCAATCTTTTTCAAGATTGGGTGCAATTCTTGTAGAAATTCCAGTGGCAAATCTAAAATTCATATGGAATGCCAAATAACCTTTAATAGCCAAAGAGATCGTGAGCAAAAAGTAAAGCTAGAAGGCCGGGGATTTAGCTCAGCAGTTCGGTGGCCTGCCTTGGAATCTCAAGGACCCAAGTTCAATTCCTGGTTCCAAAAAAAAAAGCAAAGCTAGAAGCATCATACTACCTAATCTCCAAATTGGCTAGTTATAATCAAACCAGTCTTGTCCTGGCATAAAAACAGATACACAGATGAATGGAATGAAACAAAATCCCCAAATAAACCCACACATTTAAAGTCAGCTGATATTCAACAAAGGCACCAAGAACACAAAGTAGGGAAAAGACAATCTCTTCAATAAATTGTAATGGAAAGAAAAACTGAAATCCACATGCAGAAGAATGGATTTGGTCCCTTTCTCACACCGTATGCAGAAATAACCTCAAAATGGATTGAAAAGTTAAAGTAAGTCCAGAAATTCTAATATTACTGGAAGAAAACATAGGGAAAATTGGTTTTGTTAAAGATATTTTGGATATGATCCCCAAAGCACAGGCAACAAAAGAAAAAAATAGACAAATGAGATTACACCAAACTAAAAAGTGTCTGCAGAGCAAAGGGCACCATCAATGAAATGAAGTGACACTCTAAGGAATGGAAGATAATATTTGCAAGCCATCCAATAAGAAGTTAATATCCAAAATATATGTGAGAACTCACATATATTTGCAGAATTCAGCTCAGTAGCAAAAACCCATTAAACAATGAGAAGAGCATTTAAATAGACATTTTTTCAAAAGACACACAGATGGCCAACAGGCATATGAAAAAATTTTCAACATGAGGAATCACCAGGGAAATGCAAATCAAAACCACAGCGAAGCCAGGCATGGTGGCACCCGCCTGTCATCCCAGCACTTGGGAGGTTGAGGCAGGAGGATCACTGTGTTGGAGGCCAGCCTGGGCCACAAGTGAGGTGAGACCCTGTCTCCAAACAAATAAAAAAAAACAAACCAACAAAGATAACCGCAAACCACAAAGAGATATAACCTCACACCTGTTGGAATAGTTGTTATCAAAAACAGAAAAGATAACAATTATTGGCAAGATTGTGGAGAGAAGGGAAAGCTTGTACAGTTTGTGGGAATGTTAATTAGTATAGCTATGATAGATACCAGTATGAAAATTTCATAAAGGATTGAAAATAGAATTCCATATGATCCAGCCATTCCACTACTGGTAGATATCCAAAGAAAATGAAATCAATATGTGGAAGAGATTTCTTCACTCTGATATTCCCTGCAGCACGAATATTCCATTCCAAGCAATGGAACCAACCTACACGCCTGTTAATAGAAGAATAAGTAAAGAAAATGTAATGTGATGTGAAGCGATGTGAGGGGTGGGCGTGTGCATGTGTGTGTGTGTGTGTGGGGGGGGAACATGTAACAAAGTATTCAGCCTAAAAAATCCAAACAAGGAAAGCCTCATTTTCAACAACATGGTTAAATCTGGAGGACACTATTCTAAGTGAAACAAGCCAGGCACAAAAAGGAAAATACTGCACAATCTCACTTATATGTGAAATCTAAAAAAGTTAGCTCACAGAAGCTAAGTGCAGAAGGGGTCTATGGGAAGGGGGAATGGGGAGATACTGATAAAAATACACACAATTTCATTCAACAGGAGGACCAAATTCTGGAGATCTATGGTACAGCATGGCGATGGTAGTTAATAATAATGCATGATATATTTGAACACTGCTAAGGGAGTAGATATGAATGTCCTCACTATAAAAAATAGTAAGCAAAAGGGGTTCCAGATAATCAGTCAGCCTGACTTAATCATTTCACAGTGCATACATACTTCAAAAGATCCCACTGTACACCAAAAACATACACAATTTTCATTATTGATTGAACTCTAATAAAGCTGAACAAACAAAATCAATATTTCAGCATCAGATGGCTTCATAGCCAATAGCCTCCTCTCCAAGGTAACAGCTACTCTGATTTCCTTTACCACTGATTTGTCCTGGCTTGTTCCTTTACTTCATAAAGTCAAACAGGATGTTCTCATTTGGTTTCTGGCTTCTATTCTTTTTCATCATGCCTGTAGGAGTCATCCTGGTTTGTGTATCAGAGTGTGGTCTTTTTTAAAATGATAAGTAATATTCTTTCATATTGTTATATGACAGTTCCCTTGTCTGTACCAACTGTTCTCCTGTTTATGGACATTTGGGTTATTTCTGCCTTATTACCTATTATAAATAAAACTGCTATAAACCTTCTTACCTTTAACATTGATTTCTATTATAAAATTTCATATTTCATAGAAAACTTTTTACCCTGACTAATATAAAACATCAAGCGTGTAAATTGAAGCCTCCAAACATAAAGGATAATGACAATTTCAAATAGTATTAATCTGTTAAGTAAGGAACAACATTTAAAGCAAGCCCCTGGCATTGTTTTTTACCTCTGGCACACAAACAGAATATCCCAATTATATATTTTTTTAATTCTGCAAATTGGGAATCATCAGTATGTTTCAGTTAAAAAAAAAAGTTTTTTAAGAAATAAAAATAAGAGGGATAAAACCAAACCCTTTGGGCTTGGTAAGGTTAGGTATTATTTATTATGGCTTCTATTTCAATAACACAAATGTGTTTTCCAGTTACTACTATATAGAGAAAATTGTTCTAAATTTTGCCTGAAATAACAGCCTTTGTGTATTGAAATTCACAATCACGTTCTTGGAAAAAATGAGCATCTCTGAGAAGACATTTAAGCAATTTTCTGATACATTTCATTGGGATTAAGGCTTGCTCAAAGAAACATTACCTACTCACCCTGTTGACTGACTGCTGAGCATCAGTCAAGAAACTAGTGATCTTTAGCCAAACACTTATTTTTTTTTAAACTAGGAGTTAGACTAATAATAGTTAAGTTTTGCTTTTTTGAGGGGAATACACCTACTAAAAATAAATCTCTGAATGGACTACTGGAGGTCCTTTGCAGTAAATTTATAAAAATAACTTTGAAATGTGTTCATAATTACTTTGATAAAAAGTTCACTGGAATGTAAAATATATTTCTCACTGTGATGCCTAATTAAAAAGTCTAAAAGGCCACTGATTTAAGGGGAAAGGACAGTGGTGGGTGAAACCCAGCTCTCAGCAGAGGTTGGAACCAGAGGAGTGGGCTGATCATGCCCAGGTGATACCTGTAAGAGAAGGGACTAGGGGAGGCCTTGCCCAAGGAACGGAAGTTCTCCCCACAGATGATACCAGCAGGATGCA